AAAACAACCCACGCTAAGTTTCGTGAAGAAATATTTTTAAATAAATAATTTTTTCACATAAGAACTTGATTTCGATTGTTCAATTTATATGGCCGCTATATCTTATAGTGGTCCGATATCGACGATTTCGACAAATAAGTTGCTTCTTGAGAAGAAAAATACAAGTGAAAAATTTCAGATCGATATCTCAAATGTGAGGGTCTATTTCGCGTGTTTGTTCGATAATAATATGACCTCATTTCGCTTATGTAGACCGGCCGTCAATATATTGAAGCTATCCGCAATGGTAACATAAACTGATAATTGTCTTCGTTCATATGTAACATTTTTTTATATGATATATTGATTATTAGAGAACGTAAGGATTTATATTTAGAAATCCTGCTCTAAAAATGTTCTATTTCAGTTAAGTATAACCCTAATATTAATTTAATTACATGTGGCACTGCTGTGTTATAGTTGTACTAACACATTGTGCAACTAATGTGTATTAAATCAAGAAAATTTCAGCAATTTTTTATATTGTTGGAAATATGACGGGTTTATTTATGGAACAACTTCCATAATGGGTTTTAGTTGTTTAATTATATGAACCCTCTGTGTATTCGAGGTGGTAGTAGACAAGTAGTTTTCACAATGTGTTTGAAAATGGCTAAGAAGTTTATGTAGACAAGATGGTTTGGTTAGCTGTCAGAATAATGCTTGTTTGCAATAAAACTTTATAAAAGTTGTTACAAAATATTAGCCGGACATTAGATTTCAAGTCAACTTTGTGGAATCTTAATTAATGCGCGAAGTGCCTTTCCTTGCAAGCTCATCAGCCTTACAGTCTCCTACAATATCGCTGTGGCCAACATCCAAACAAGTCTGATCGAGCTCGATGAAAGGGATAAATTCACTAGTCTTGAGCGCACAGTCAGCGAAATTATGGTTAATATCGCTGTCCTACAATCAAACCACCAACCTTCCCGCAAGCTTTGATCCATCCGTAAAAAAGCTTATTGCTCCTCTCCTCCAACGCGTCTCCTTCGCCAGGCCTGAGCTCGGCGACCTGATAATGAAAATATTTTGGAATGAAGTCAAATTGTGTGTTGATGCCGAGTGCCTCGATTCGCAGCCCTCTAAGTACCCAGATCAATTATGAGAGCTATGTTGTCCTCGCAAGCAATCACTCGGCAGTCGACTTCCTCAAGCTTTTTTTAGAAGATCTTTGCCACTCATGTCCAAGAGACGGATGAGGGACCCCTATTTCCCGTGTGAGGTACCTCTGCTCACGTTCTGTTATGCTCAACCGCAAACCTATCCATAGTGTTAATAACCGCTTTTGGTAAAACGGTGTTGAAGGCGCATCTTTGTCGAGAAAGATTCCCACGTCAAAGTCTTATGCCATAAGGCATTATCATGCCAGGAGACAGGATTTCATAAGGTTTTTGCAATAGCCATGCTGTGTGCTTGAAAGTCGATTTTTTGGAATAATACCCCTTAAGGGGTTATATACAGTTAGAATTTAAAAAAAAATCTGTAAAATTGGACTTCTAACTGTATATAACCCCTTAAGTGCAGATCAATCAATCTCTCAAACGTTTCTACTACGAAAGAGGAGAAGACTGATTCACAAGAGCAAAATGCGCTTTTTTCAAACATCACACTTGTGCCTGAAACAAATGCTACTTACTGTTTCACCTAAATTCCGTTTATTTACATTTTTTCTTTTAATGTATGTGTGTATGTGTGACTTAGCAATAATTTACTTTACACCTAAGTGCACATTCATTGTCAAATCAAAGCCATTGCCGCCCACAATGTTGGCTCTGCCATCAGTAATACCGAAGATAATTTGTATGCAAATTCAGATATACTTTTATATGTAAATTATATATGTATGTGTATATATGTATATGTGTGTATATACATATATGCAGGAACGTTCATTGTAAAACATAATTTATGCGCCGAAGTGCTTTTATAGTAATTTATACAAGTAATTTGTTAACGTAAATCGCACATTAACAATGAAAAATGTTATTTTACACACAAGTGTACATACAGGTCATTTGAGCAAATAGTGATTCTCGTAGCATCATGCAAGTGACTATAATGTCAATTTTATCTGTAGTTACACTCAAGGTTTTTAGATATGTGCAAATATATGAATATATTTATAAACAAATGTATGTATTTATATACATATATTTACAGCCAAATGTAAGCACTTACAGCTACATAAATGTGCATGCCGGTGATGAATCGCCATTTCAAGTATGTGCAGCACTTGTACCTCGAATTATGTGTGTGTGTATTTATGTGCCCGTTAAGCTCAAAATGACAGCCTTGGCCGCGAATTCAGTGTTGCATGTTACCGCACAGTTAAATAAAAGTGAATGAGAAGTGGAAGAAAAGATGAAAAAAATAAGTTTATTTTGATGACTACTTGTGCTGTGCCGCGCAGCAGGTGTCGATAATGTTGAAAATGATTATGTTATTAAATATCTATAAATAATTTACTGCGCGTGGCGTATTTAATCACAATATTTAAGGTTAAATTTGAAATTTAGTGAAATTATTAGTATAAATCACGTAAATGTGTTGATTATATGAATTAAGTGGATGCTTAGTAAAATTACCATTACGGCTTTGGATGCCTTAAAAATGTATTAATTCCTGTAGCGCGTTGTCTTTGCAAGTTAGTACACTTAAGGAGAGTTGCGATGTAGGGATTAAAAACGGTTTATCTCGATTTACGTGGAATTCTACACGAAAGATATAAGTCTGTTTTTGACACCGGCACTTGGGAGACTTTTATTATAGTGTTTTTCCACATAATCGTATTGTGGAAATAAATTAAAAATTCTGCTTACAATTTGATCACAGCAGTAATATTACTGCAATCAAATTTTTGATTATAAAAATAAAAATTAAGTATTTATGTATGGGGAAAATTCGCAAACATATTTAAAAAAAAATTGTAAATAAATTTTTCAGTTTAAAAAAAGTTGTTAATTGCAATATTTTTCTTCAACAAATTTTATATATTTCCTTAGCGAAGTGAAGTGTAAACGGTTTATTTAAAAATACTTATCAACTTAAATAAAAGAATTCTATGAAATTTCGAATGCTCTTTCTACTAAAAATTTAAGTGCCAAATTCGAATGAGCTACTTTACTTTATTTTTAATAACCTCAAAATGAAAATCTANAAATTAAAATATTTTTTATTGTTTTTTTTTAATACCTACTCATACATAACCATATTATTAAAAAAATAAAGCTTTCAATTCAAAAAGATTTTATGATATGCAATCTTCACTTTATTTTCCAAGACACTTCCTTGAGTAGCATTTAAATTAATGTGCAACAATGAAAACATGTTTTAATTTTCTATAATAAATATTTTCACCACTTCGAAAAAGGGAAGTGAATTTCCACTCGTCGATGTTTAATTATTATTTCTACCGCTTACTTTATCTTGTAAGCAGCTAATTATTCCACAACTTCTCATGAAAACTTGACGACATTCCACCATTAGAATATGAAAAAATAAATGTTGAATAAAATGTTGAAAAAACTACGCTTATACAAATTTATGCATTGCAACGCGTGACTATAAAGAAAAAAGCGCTTACATATAAGCATATATTTAGCTGTAAACAGCGCGTACGTGCCACCAGCAAGTCGAGTTCCAATGACCGCGATGCATTCCGCAACACATTTATCGAATTGACACTTTTTTCAAGTTCCCGCTGTTGAACTTAATTAATTTTTCGCTATTTGACGGAGTATCGAGAAGAAAAATTGTAATATTTGTATGTGTGTGTGTGGAAAAAATTGACTGTAGGTATGCAGTACATGACGCTCAATGAATTAGAAATGTTTGCCAATTAAAAGTGCCTTTTAGAGCGCAGCGTGTTAATTGATTGAGAGAAGCAAAAATAAAAAAAAAAAAAAAAAAAAAAAAAAAAAAAAAAAAAAAAAAAAAAAAAAAAAAAAAAAAAAAAAAAAAAAAAAAACGCAAACTGCTTCTGATGCAAAGTTGGAATGTGCAAAGATAGTAATGTAGAGAATGCGATAACACACACACACTCAAATGCATAGAAATACGTTTGAAGCCAGAGAAGTGTCAGCTATAAGCGATGCTTCGTGCCAAAGGCGGTTCTCAAACACACACACGCACACCAATCAATGCCCAACACGCTGAACTTGACATCAAATGCCGCATCTGTGACTATCAGCTGTCAACTGTCACAGCTGTTGAGCAGCAATTATTTAGCGCAATTTAAAAAAATCACAAACATTTTCTATGACAGAGTTTTCACTGCGATTATGCAGCAAAACTGCCACAATTGCCACAAATGACAAATACGCACACTTGTTGTTGTTGCAAAYTGATGCATCACTGATGTCATAATTGTTTGTGCGCTCATTTAAGCACATTGTGCACTTAGGCGCATTAGCACTTACTCATATCAGCTTATGCTAATAAGCCGCGCTTGACTTCATCTCCTGTCTTCTGGTCGTAATTCATTTCTTTAAACAATTTAATTCGAGAGTTGACAATCCATAAATATGTTATATGCTGTTTTTGTTGTAAAGTAAATTAAGTGTAAAATAATTGCAACAGCAGTGCGTCAACACTTCGCTACGCCTTTGTGGCAGTGCTAATTTATACAAAGTGCCCCACGGCTGATTGCAATCCGAACGCCATTCAACTGTGTCGCTGGGTAATTTTGCACTTTTGTTGGTGTGTGAGTTGTGTGCACAGAATATTGACTAAATTTGTGTTGTTCAAAAATATTTTAAGTGATGCTCAGACGCTGCTAATAAACTGTTGACATAAGTTTTTAGTGGAACCGGAAGTTCTTTAATTTTAATGTTTTATATGCATGTCTATCAAAGTCTAAAATTCAAAATAAGGTAAAATCGCTCTTCATAAGCTTATAAACGAAGGAAAAACGATGTAATAGGAACCTTTTATTGAAACAAAATTTGAGTTTTGTTTACAAAATGGTTATACATTGGTTATATATGACAGCGAAAGCTGAGAATTTTATGGTAAATATATGTAATATGATGTAGTGAATAGTCCTATGGCCCAATGACGCCTTCGGCCCATAAAACGCACTAAACCGTGATTTTTTCGGGTGCAATGGTGACACAAAGAGTACGTGTGGATTGCTGCCTGATCAGTAACTCATATTTTTCTTATTGAGGAAGCCATTCAGGCAGAAGATGATTTTTCGAAAAAAATCCGGTTCATTTTCAAGTTGTTACTCAGCCCAATGTGCCAAAATACGACTATACTGGTGGTCAAGCGGCTTCAGTTCTTGCATGAATTTGATCTTGTGGGGATTTAGACCAAAATTCTTTTGCAAAATTCGCCACAACGACGTCATAAAGATGCCCAACGCTTGAGAATGATATGTGAGATACGGATTGGGTCTTCCTCAATTGATGCGCTAGTGGAAGCAATATTTTCGACAACACAAACACTTCTATCTATCACTGACACACCAACAATTTGTACTGTACCTGTGAATTTAAAATTTTCAACCAGACGCTCAATTGTTGAAATAAAGCTAAACAGAGGCTTCCGCAGTGGCACGCGGTCAATAGCCATGATAGTAGAGAGACCTTACATCTCCTTACTTCTATGAAATATGTGTTAAATTGAGGCAAAAGTGTACCAGGGGAATGTTATAGAAATCGTGACTCCCTTCGATGGTGTGCATTGTATCTTTCAACAAAACTCTGCTCCGGCACACAAGGTGAAATCTAACCAGAAGTGGCTCAGAAGCAATAATCCTGCATTCTGAAAGTTCAAATTTTAATGTACTGTAGTAGTTAGTGGTCTGAGTTGGGGAACATGACCTTTCAAATACCCTACAAATTTGAAGAATAAAAAAAAATATATTTGGTTCGAGCATAGTCATTATTGCCGAATCATTTGAGTGCATGTTGGTAAGCAAAATATGTACATTTTGAGTAAAAATTTTGTTCAAACTAGACGAAAGTAAAGGAGTCTTTGTGGATTTCAAATATCGGTAAAAACTGAACCACAATTTCAGTTAGGTGGTTGATTTGATTTTTATTTCTCCTCTATCACCTACAAAAAACAAAAAAAAAAAATGAGATTCTAGGTGTTTTTGCCTTAATCTTCGACAGGCAGGACACTTCAGGAGTAAGTATTGAGATTTTAGTATCCCATCTTTTTCCGAGCAGCTGATTCAGCTGGAATAGAGTGGTGAATCACGAGAAGCCAACAGAGTTTCTACGCGTTTGCATTTCGCGGGTATTAAGACTGAAACACCTGTTCTTTCTAACATTTGAATATTCTCTGTTTAATAATAATTATTTATATATGAGTACTATTAACCATTTTCCTCTATTACCTAATTATATCAAAAAATATATAATTACAATCACTTCAAACTCATTTCTAATTAAATCACGAATTGCACATCTTATCTTGCAGTTCATACAATCCACATACGCGCTGGTCACGTGCCTCATTTCAATTTGCTCGGCTATACGTGTCGATTTCAATACGAACAAGGGTCCCATTGTGCCGCCAACACCACGTACAACGGTACGTCCGCTGCCGCCGTTCCGTGAGCCCGCGCCCGTCTGGGAGGATCAAAGCAATGATATACCGAACCCGAAACCATACACGTAAGTGTTATTACAAAAGACTTAAGGCACGAACTCGTTGCAATGATTAATGTTTATTAGCGCCATAAAGTGACAATATTAATTGTGTCGACTTGATGAAATATTGTTTTGTATATATATTTTTTTTCTTTTCTGTGAATGTTTTGAAATAACGAATAATAGTGGCAACGCTGGTGAAACAATATATTATACAAGGTTTTTTTACAAGCAGTATGAAAGTGTTATATTAAGTTATTTCGAAATAAATTTTTAAGCGCATAATAACATTTTCTATCTCAACCTCAAATTAAAATTTTAAAAATTTGGCAACGTCATTGTTAATTTTGTTAAACTCTTTTATTTAGATAGTTGTTTTTACTTCAATGGTTAGAACAAGAGTGAGAAAATGTATAAGTACAATAAAGTTCAGTTACAATGCGATTTCATTTTRAATACATCAGAGTTGCATGGATATGTACGTTGTTATATGCAGGATTGCATTTCAACAGTCATAAAGTCATATTTTTGTACTACAAAACCGTTCAGTTTGTAGGCAATTTTTGTTAGGGAAACACTAACTATTTAGACTTTACTACAAAATTAGTGGAAAAAATTGCTAAACCAAAAAAGTCTGTTTTCCTTGTCTTGGCTCAAAAAAGATAAATTTTATACAATTTTTTTCTTTGCAATTTATCTTTTTTTGATATGTGGCAACTCATTTCCAACATGTGCGTATTGAAAATTTTTAGGAAGGTATTTTTTTTTTATTGTATGCACCAAATTTTAATAATATAAGTATAAGGAACAAGAGGCTTTGGAATGTACAAAAAAAACAAGCATAAAGGTTAGGTTAGGTAAACAGACTAATACTCCGAAGACCACGAATATTTCCAAGTCCACGGCTCGAGACGCCCGATCCTTCTGATACCCAGAACACGTAGATATAATAAAAAAAAAAAAAAATAGCCACAAAACGCCTTGAAGCTGCCACAAATGTATTGAGCCAGCTTATATAAATTCCAGAAAATTTTCTTGATTCGCTGAAAGTATGGCAAGAGAGATGTTTCAACTTTAGTCTGACCGAGAGTCATATTTAGTCATATTTAGAACAAGTCTGGCCACAGCTAAACAGAGGAGGAACAAGTCTTTACAAGCTTCCACCTCATCTTCCTTGATGCAACAGTGACAATTTGAGTTATCCAAAATGTTTGGCCTTGATAAGAGCATGGAGTTCAGTAGACCTCTCATGCTCGACTTGAGAGCCATAGATCGAATATTAGAAAGCACGTAAAAATAAATGTATTTTACGTACCAATCCTAACAGGATTTGGGTACGTATGCTCTTTCTTGGAAGATACTTCCATTGTGAACATGCATTAAAGCCAGTTTAATATGAAAGCAGCTTACTACTGCTAGTGAGGTCATTTCCCGACTAGCTTTGAGCTCAAAGTCAGCGAGCTAAAGGCCTGTATAGCAACTTTGCTATCGGTGTAAATGCATATCTCCTTACTTAATACTTAATATAAATAATAATTTTTAGTTGACTTTAAATTATTATAATTTATATACTTATTTTGGTACAGTAAAAAATTTGGCAACCCGCCAAGCCATCGCTCGCTTATAATTCGAATTTGGCGTAAAATAAATAAATTTTAATAAATTATTAATATGTGATTTATATTATTGCAATTGATTTAAGACGCTGCACTTTATCATTAGTAATATATGTATAATATAACTGGCATAACAATGCTTTAACTTTCGATAGTCTTCAACATAGTAAATTCATTTTAAAATCATACAAAATTCTCTAAGCCATTTACCACTGACTATTGGAAGCAAATAAATACACCTTCGCCTTTGGTAAAGTAAATAAATGTTGAGAAAGAGCGCATTATTTAAAAAATACCGTTATTTTCCACTATCCTCTGTACTATCATAAAATTTTATAGTTTAATTTAGCAGCGCATAATTTCTAACTATAAACCGTTTTGCTATCTTTCAGTTACATTTTACCGCCACCGTCGCGACCACGTACAACCGGTAATAATGTTGGCAACGCCGGTCAAAGGCCACTGCACTACTATGGCAACCTCTTGCTGCCCTCCAACGAGAATGCCTTCACCCAGCAAGGCAGTACGAATGTGGGCGGCGGTAGCTTGGCAGCGAAATATATACCGAATGTTGGTATACGGTACACAGCGGTGGTGGCGCCTACTTACAACAGCAATAACAACAATAACAACTACAATAACAACAATCAAGCCAATCGCAACAACGGTGGCGGCAATTACTTCGACGTGAACAATAAATTGCATGGCAAATACTATAATGCCAAAACGAAAAAGTACAAGGCATACGAGAAGGTCAAATACGTGCCACAAAACTATGTAAGAATCTATTATTATAAATAAAGTAACAATTTACGACATTGTAATATTTAATATTGATTTTTTTTTGTATATGTTCTTTTTGTGTTGTAGTAGTAGTAGTGTTATTTGTAAGTAGTAAATAGTGAGGAGTTTGAGGTTAAGGAGAAAATTTTTTTATGTTATTTTTGTTGAACATTTTGAAGAAATTTTTATAAAATAAGATTTTTGATAAAAGATTTTAATTTAAGTTAGTTTAATTAACACGAAACCTTGAATTTTTAAAAATTTACTTTAAAGTGTACACTCTTGTAATACGCTCTTTGTTTATGAACCAAATCACCACCCCCGCACACATTTTAACACTCACTCCTTGCATTGCTCATTTAACTGGTTATATTCGATTGCAAGTCAGAAAAAATGGGGTTTTCGAGAATTTTTTTGTTTGAAGTGGCATAAAACTTGAAAAAATTTTCATTTTGGTTGCACCGAAGCTATAATACCCTTCACAGGTGCATTTGTTATAGCAGAATTGGTATAAAAAAATTTTTATCTTGATTTTATACGCTCAGTTTTTATGACAGCTATATGCTATGGTAGTATATAGATCTGAATTTCCTCGGAAAATGTAGTCTTGGCTTGGGCAATAATTTGTAAAAAAAATCGTGAAGATATTTAGTCACCTAAAAAATTGTCCATACAGCAACTGGATTTCAACCGTTTGGTTTATATGGCAGTTATATGCTATAGTAGTTCGATCTGAACAATTTCCTCGGAGAATGTAGTGTTTACTTAGCCAATAATTTTTAACAAATTTCGTGAAGATATTTTGTTAAATAAAAAAGTTTTCAACAAAGGACTGGATTTTGATCGGTTCATTTATATGGCAGCTATGTGCTATAGTAGTCCGATCTTAATAATTTCTTTGAAGATTTTATAGTTGCTTGGAATAATAATCGGTACTGAATTTCGAGAAGATATATCGTCAAATAAAAAAGTTTTCCATACATGAACATATTTTTTATCCATCAATTTGTATCGCAGCTATGTGGTATAGTCTGATATCCGCGGTTTAAGCAGTTTTTTTTGGAGAAAAGGGTGTGCATAAAATTTCATATCGATATCTCAAAAAATTTAAAGATTTGTGAGCTGATTAGACTAATTTAAAACGTTTTTGCAACTTGAAAATTTGAGAGAATATTCTCAAATGCATATACATTCAATATATTGCAAAAAGAAAATGTGGTATTTTGAAATTCGCTAGTGAATTTAACCCCTCAAAATTCCTTAGACACCAACTTTTATGGTTTAATATCAAGCTTCGCTTCATCTACTCACACCACTCATTACCTTTTCATTACAGTATCCACTTTCTGCATTGGCACTACCCATCGAAAAACCTTACACAAACGCATTCAATCAAGAGCAGTTCATACGCACACAACAGTTGCCACAAATTGCCGCACCAAACGCCTTTCGGCCAGCCGAAAAAGCAGCAAATGAAACACAACCACACAGCGCGGCATCAACACGACAAAATACCGTTAGCGCCGCCGCAGCAACACCTATAGCTGCCAACGCAGCTGCCACACAAGCCAAGTGGGCGCACGAGAAAGATCAGTCGCTGTTAAAAGGCAAGTCCCTCCTCGATTCCAGCAAAGCACAAGCGCCGTTACCAATTACATCAACAACAACAACCACGAAAATAAACACATCGGGAGGTCAACAGGTGAACGCCATCTCGAGTGCGAAGAGCAGGTGAACGTGTATATAGCAACGTTACAGCAACACAAATACAAATTAATTTGAGAAAAAAAAGTTTTCAAACGCATTTACACCAACAAAAGCAAGAATGTACAGCAAATATACAAATCATCAAGTACTTTAGCATTTTAATTTACTGTTATATAATTGACATTTTCACAATTTTTGTTGCATTTTGTAAACTCTGCCAACTGCCTGTCATTGTGCGCTGCATTTGAGGCGCCCAATGAAGGTTAACTAAATATTAGCTTTTACCACATGATCAATGCCACTTTTGGGGCTCACAATTTTTTTTTTTTTTTT